ATTTTATGACTAGCGGGGATGGTTAGTTCGGGATTTGGAAGGGTTCGGGTTGAAATCGGAACACTTGGTTCCTTAAAATTGGCTAAAAAGGGCTAAGTTTGACTTGAGTCAACATTTTGAATAAACGACCTCGAAACCGGGATTTGACGGTTCCAATAGGTTCGTATGATGATTTTACACTTGGACGTATGCTCGGATCGGGTTTTGGATGACCCCGGGAGCGTTTCGGCGCTTAATATTAGAAGTTGGCACATTGAAGGTTTTAAAGTCCTTTAAATTTGGTTTGAAGTAGGATTTGGCGTTATCGAAGCCCAATTGGGATTCCGAGCCTGAGAACAGTTCCGTATGGTGATTTAAGACTTGCACGCAAAATTTGGTGTCATTCCGAGTAGTATAAGTATGATTCGGCGCGTTCGGAGTAAGTTGGAAGAACTTGAAGTTCATAAGTTGATTATATTGGTTTTGGGTTGCGATTCTTAGTTTTAATATTGTTTTTCGCATTCCGAGGGTGCGTGCGAGTCCGTTTTATGTTTGCAAACTTGTTGGTATGTTTGAATGGGGCCTCGGGGGCTCCGGATGCCATTCGGACGATGCATGGAAGTCATTTGGCCTTGAGTGATCAGCTGAAGCATCCATCTTCTGGTGCAATCGCACCTGCAGAGGGCCAGCCGCAGGTGCGAGCTCGCAGAAGCGAGCCAGCTGCCACAGAAGCGGCCCAGCATGGGCAGTCTAGAAACCGCAGAAGCGGACAAGGCGACCGCAGAAGCGGTCAAGGGACCGCATAAGCGGGGTCTTGCGCAGGTGCGGCTTATCTGCCATAGGAGCGGCATCGCAGAAGCGAGCCCACATTCCGCAAATGCGGACTTAGGCCAGCCAAGAGAGGACCGCATCTGCGATGAACCTTCTGCAGATGCGGCCCAGGGACCGCAGATGCGAAAGTCCTGGAGGCAGAATGGTCCATTTAATGCGGGACTTAGGCTATTTTGACTCATTTTTTTTCATCTCTTGGGCGATTTTGGATCTCTTGGAGAGGGGATTTCACCTAGCACTTTGGGGTAAGTAATTTCTATACAATGTGAGTTAAATACATAGATTATGGATAGATTTTAACATGTAAAAATTGTGAAAATCATGAGTTTAGATGAAAAATTTAGGTTTTGATAAAAATTAGATTTAACCACGAAAATAGTTACGGAATGAGTGAAAATTATATATTTGAGTTCGTCAGGTTATGGGTAACAACTTTCTTCAAAATTTTTAGGAATCCGGGCACGTGGGTCCGAGGATAAATTTTAGGAATCCTTCAATTGGGGTTGGGTAATCACTCTAATAGTTGAATTATGAACTTTTGAGCATATATTGATTAAATTAAATAACATTTGACTAGTTTTGGATTGTTCGGCACCGCGTTGAGGCTTTAGAATGAAATTTTGGGCCGGAAAGTGAGCTTTGAGATGAGGTATTGCTATTTGCTTCTAATTGTGGGGGCTACGTACGCACAAGGTGACGAGGGTCTGTGGGTAGATACTAATTATGCTTATGTCCGGGTAGTTTAGGGCCCGAATCATGAAATATTGGTAATGTTTGCACCCTACTTATTAATTAAAGTACCTAAATTATATTGAAACTTGTTAGAGGAATTGTAAAGGACCGAATTTCACTCACTTGAGTTTTGACAAGTTACTTGACCGTTAGTGAAAATTATGTTTCGTTGTGCATTACCCTTGTATTAGCCCTTAAACCGGTTGTTTAAAAAGTATCCTCTCTTCTTGTGGAGCGAGCCAAATGCCTCGGCACTAGATAGATGCATCTATAGTTCATGCCGCTCGACCCTCGGCAGTGTACACTTTATTCTGGATTAAACCGTATAACCTCGACATAATCGTGCGCGATAACACTCGAAGTGTAATCATATATTTGATATCCTTCCCTGGCCCGAGAGGCAAAATTGTATAAAATAGAAATTTATTTGAAACTTACCATGTGTGAAAGGATTATTTACTTTCTGCTTGCTATTGAGTTATTATTATTATTTACACAACGCATGCTCATTTAGAATTCTAAATTTCTTTACTATTAGCCCACAGTAAGTATCGATGTCGACCCCTCGTCACTACTTCTTAGAGGTTAGACTTGATACTTACTGGGTACATGTTATTTATGTACTCAAGTTACACTTCTGCACTAACCGTGCAGGATCTGAGGCAGGTGCATCTGGAGGTTCTACCGACGTGCATCCCAGATATCCCGAGGCCTAGTGGTGAGCTACTTCCTGAGCCATTCTGCAGCCCCTAGAGTCTCTCTTTTGTATTTATATGCTGTCTACTTTATTTCGGACAGTAGTTAGAGTTTTATATATTCTATTAGTTGCTCATACACTTGTGATACCAGATCTTGGCACACACACTAGTAGACTTTATGGTTTTGGAGCACTTATATTACTATGGTTGCCACTCAGTTGTCTTCGTTTCATTTATTAAATTTTTCACCTTTTAATTCCCTATTAAATAGAATTTAATTACTTTAAAGCTTATTAAAAGAGTAATAACGTGGTTTAATTTACCGTTGGCTTGCCTAGCGGTAACGTTGGGCGCCATCACGGCCCATGGTAGAATTTGGGCCGTGACACGTAAGTACACGCGGTCGACAAGCAATTAAATAATAAGTAGAGTATTGTTTTCACGAGGACTTGTTATCAACTATTGACTAAGTTAGACTATCTTAATTATCTAAATAAGAATTAAACTTAGAAGTGTTTGACTCTAAACTAATTAAATTAAAAAAACAAATAGTGAATTCTGAACAAAGGAAGAGCAGATTTTTATGTTATCAATGTGATGAAAACAATCTACGTTATTGGCTATCTAATAAATCCGATCATATTCTTCATTTGAATTGACTAATTAATTTATCTGGTTTATTTGTTGAAACGATTAATATTGCTCATAAGAATCTGTTGAGTTTGTACTCGTCTATTCAAGCTAACCTAACACATATATGTGTATGGAGTTTGAATCAACAAGAATGCATCCATATTCCTATATAATAGCCAAGCAAGACAATTAGGTATATGTCTATCCTAACCAACGAATCTATTCCCCAATATCCAGGTTTAAGAACTTGCTCTACTCAATCCCATGTGCAATCTAGAATTCCCACTTTCGAGTTCAATTCTAGATTCATAGATAGTATTCAATTGGTGATCAAGCAATCAAATAATTAAGTACAAAATTAAATAAATAAATCAATACGATAAATTGAAAAATCAAAATTAATATTGAATAACAATAGTCACGAAAGAACCAAAATCCTAGAACATGAAGTATATAGCTCTACATAGACGTGGTAGCCAAACGACAAATCATGCAAAACATATATAAATTATTATGTTTGGTAGAAAAAAAAAGATAAAACACAATGAACTTTGGCCTTCACGTCAAAAGGAATATAAAAATCATGTTTAATGGCTATTTATAGATATAGAAAAAAACCTATACGAAATAACCTAGTCCAAAATAAAAAGAGATGGAATAACTTCGGAATTGGACGCCGGCGCGTCGCACTGCCTATCACGATGGCCAACGTCGGTCTCGCAGTCTAAGAGGGAGTCCGGAACCAAAGTGTGGTTCTTTTGGACTCAAAAAATAAAAATAGGTGGCAAAAAAAATTGACTACCATTTTATATATAGCGCGGTGAATAACCGTGCTACATTTGAACTCAAAATTGGCGGGAGGTATAGCGCACATATAGGAGGCGCTATAATATAGTACCTCCTATATATGCGCTATACCTACTTAAAAAAAGCGGGCCATCTCCTTCCCCGATCAGAAACCAGCANTTCTCCGTATTGTAGCAAGCTAACACCAGATCCAAGGCGTTGTCGTGTATTGGATCTCGTATATTGCTCGTTTCGGCCCCCAAATTATCAAATTTTTACATTTTAAAAAACTTTAAATCGAGGTATTCCGACTTACTTTTTGGTAAAACTCATGTATATAAAATGCTTAGTAGTTATTTTTTACTTTGGTCTATGCCTCTTTGTGATCGTTTTGTGATTTAATTAATTTGTTATTTTTTATCCGGATTAGATTATTTATGTGCTAAAAAATCAGTAATAAAGATAAATTATTATTTTATGAATAATTAATGTCATATGTGATGAATGTTGTACATATATTAATATGCGACTTTATTGTTGTTTAGTACCCTTTAGTGTTATGTTGTGACCTAAATTATAATGTAGTGCCCTTTAGCGTAGTAAAACTGAAAATAAATTTTATCTTATGGTGGCTGACTTTGTTCATGGCCATTTAAAGTAGTGTTACTTTAGTAGAAAAATGTTGGAAACTAACATATGAAATATTAATATAGAAATTAATATCATTTAAATTATGAAATACTAACATATGAAGTATTAACATATGAAATTATCGTTGTAGTTATTGAAATTAATAATTTAGCAAAAATATCTGGAAAACAAATGTTAGTTCAAACACAAACTCTCTCGAATTTTAGTCATCAAATGTAAGAAAATAACATAAAAACGACAAATTAATTAAATGAATACTTATTAATTATATGAATACTTATTAATTATATCATGTATAGTTAAGAAAATTAATTATTTAATTCTATTATACCCAAAAATAGCTAAGTAAGAAACAAACATATAAAATAATAAACAAACATATAAAATAATAAACTAACATATAAAATAATAATATAGAAAATGTATTAACCTAAGTAATAATATAGAAAAAAAATCGATTAAATATTAATATAAAAGATATTGCAATATATTTTAAGATGTTAAACAATTAAACAGAAAAATACTTTAATTAATATTGTTCAATTTACAGACATCGTCATGGAGGTTCCCCCTGTGCATCCCGGACCTGCATCTCGAGAGGTACTGTTGCTACAGGGCAACCATTGGTCTTCACACATCTGGGATGGGCAATGTCTCTCCCAGATATTTCGCCCCAGACATATAGACGATATGTGGGAGTTCATTAGAGACCACCCACTGCATCCCCGTATAGTTAGACGCCTTCAGGATACGGGTTTCTATAGGATCATAGAGATCGACCGGTTGCAGTTCGACTGGGCGTTGATCACGGCTATGATAGAGCGGTGGCGACCGGAGACACACACATTTCATCTATCCATCGGAGAGGCTACCATCACGCTCGAGGACGTGGAGGTTCTTTTCGGGCTGCTTGTTAATGGTATACCTATAGCTTACCTCGAATGCTCTTAGAGACTATAGGGGAGTGGATTACCTTCATATGTCGTAGCGGCTCACTAGTTTCCAGCCAGCGGAGCCGACTGCGTTGAGTGGGGCCAATCAATTGCAGCTGATGCCCGTTCGGCAGCATCTGGTGGCGATGGACGCGGAGATTACAAATGATTTACCGCCAGAGGATATCGACCGGCACACGAGACTGTTGTTGTTGCTGATGTTTGGTGGTATATTATTCCTGAACACTTCGGGAAACCTAGTCAGCTTGAGATTTCTACATCATCTGGAGAGGCTAGATGATTTATCTGGTTACAGGTAGGGTGCACCTGTTCTAGGTTACCTGTATAGGCAGATGTGTCGGGCGTGCATGGGCACCCAGAGAGACGTTGCCGGATTTTTATCGTTGCTGCAGGTGAAAACATAGTCAATTATTTTCATGATTATAACATACATAGTAAAGAAACACCTTAAATTTTACTTCCACAATCTATGTTAGGTTTGGGCCTGGGAGTGGTTCCTGCAGTTCCAGCCACCTCTACCACTGATAGCTACGGATGCACCACCTCCACCGTTTCTCCCTTTAGCTTGGAGGTGGGTTGATAGGAGAGGCTACGCACGCGAGGTCGAGGCTCGACATCATCTCCCTTATTACATGATTTGTTGGATTTACTTGAAGTCGTGCAGGTACATATATACTTAAGTTTACTTGGACAGTCTTGATATGTGTTGCGTTTACTCACGATTCTTGTGTTTATTAAATAGTTCGTATGGAGGCCATACATCGACATACTCATAGCTGGTTTGCCTGATTGTTGCTCTCGCAGCCGAGCTATGTAGAGCTTTTCCGTCCCACTGATATGTATCGACATAGTCGAGCATCATGCCACAGAGCGAGTCTTTCGTTAGTTTGGTCGCCCGCAACTTGTACCTATTCCGCCCACTTGGCACAGGACATATTACCAACGAGATGATTATTGCAGGGTTGACCAAACATACATGGCATGGCTAGTGGCCCGGATTGAGGTTTGGGACCAAAGGTATGACAGATTTCGCCATACCCTCCACCTGACGTATGGATGGCAAGCATGAGTACATGGGTTGGTATCGCAGCGTTGCCCGACTTATCGTCGGTAATCCCGTTCATCGCGCTGGTGGTTGGTACATTCCATATGCCGGGAGGTATGAGGCACCGGTATGTTAATTGTTATACTTACTTATAACGTTACATTATTCTTCTGTAATTAATATTTACATGTTATGTAGGCTATTGGCTTACATCAGTTCTACTAGTTGGGACTGCAGATGCTGCAGCATACAGGCGAGGGAGCGGAAGCTTTGCACGTGTTTGGCCGTCGGGTTACTGATCTTGCTGCCGACACATTGAGACGTGCCCGAGAGGATAGGCGCTAAGGATAAGAGGTTGCTTATGTGCCGCCCGGGGAGTACCATCATGGACCACCAGTGGAGCCTGAACGTGGTAGACGTGGCAGGCGTGGCCAGAGAGGAAAGGGTGGCCCACGAGGTCGTGGGGGTCGGCAAGGACGGGGTTTCCAGCAAGGGGGCGTTGAGGCACCCATGGAGGATATTAGAGATGATCACCGGGTGAACACCCTGAGCCATACGATGCTCCTCATGATATGCCATCATTCAGCCTTCAACTGTAACTAGGGACTTCGCAGGTGACCCCATCTTCTCCACTGTTGATTGCGGGCACGGCCATTACGCGGCAGGAGTGGGATTAGTATTTTCCTGATCCCCCAGAGCCATCGACGGTTGATGCAGATCGGCTGATACGAGAGGTGCATAATGGGCGACAACTGAGTTATGGCTCATCACCGAGGGATGCTGAGGATCTTTCATATACTTCATCTACGCCACTGCACCTCGATGTTCCGACAGAGCATCGTGGCGCTACTCAGGCGTAGGGTTGTTTTTAGTACTATTATTTCAATTTGTTTTTATGTCATTGATTAGTCAGTAATACCTAAAGTGTTTTTATTTTTTTAAAGATTTCGTCATTGCTCGTCACGGAGGCCACATTATGCGATACTAACTTGCCTGAGACTGATGATATTATTCAGGAGCCTGATGAGACCATGGTATGACCATTAAAATATTTTTTGCTAACACGTACGTTAGTATTTTCTATTTGATATACTAAAATATCTTATTATTCTGTAGGTTACTGCTGGCCCAACGGCCGCTTCTACCGAGTCTGCCAGCCTTACTGACGATCATGTTGCAGCGCATCCTCCGATAAAGAGGCGATGTGATGAGGATGATCCTGATAGCGTAGCCGGGCGAGATGGGATGCACCTCAGGCCAGCCAATGCCCTAAAGCGTACAGGCTGTGGGACTCATTGATATGTATTATTAGTTGTATATATGACATTAAATATATAATAACAACATTATTTATGTTTTACATAATTTGCGCAAGTGTGTTTATTTCTCAGTTTATTTATTAGTTTAACACTAGAACACAATTAATGGAAAGTTTTTCTATTCGTTTCGTTACAACGCAACAAATAACTAAAATGCGCAAGGTTTTTATAGGCAGCTAAGAGTGATTTTAGGTTACATAACGAATATTGGTGAGGCGCTATGTCTCGCGTGATAATGATTCTTTAGGGTACAAGTGGGTCCAGCTTTTTCAGGCCGACAGCTTTTTTAGGTCGACAAGACAATACACATAGCGCATATTAGCGAGGCGCTATGTTTCGCATGATAATAATTCTTTAGGGTACAAGTGGGTCCAGCTTTTCCGGTCGACAACATTTTCAGATCGACAGCTTTTTCAGGTCGACATGACAATTCATTACAACTTTTTCGTGCAGTTTAGTTCTTCTTAAGTTGAACCAAGAGATCAGTATTCAAAGATCATTTGAAGAACCATTACAACATCCATTTCAGAAATGCCACTAACATTTAATAAGTGATTTAAGAAGAGGAAAAAAGATTAAGGTAGTTGAAAAGATCCACATGGAACACGCCATAACACAATCGATCCCTATGTTGAAAAAAATATGTTAGGTTGCTATACAGATTTGGTTGATGACAAGTGGTATGGTGTTGTACGTCCCTTGGAAAATAAGCCTACCAATATACACACTTATCTCAAAGTTGCAAGGCATATTATTGAGGGCGAAGTGCATTCTACAAAGCCTAAAGGTATGCAAATTTAGGGCAAAAAACTACAATGGGTTCCCTTTACTCAAAACGATGTGATTATAAAGTACTATGTCACTGGCATAGGCTTGCTGTACCCCAAGCACTGTCTGCAACCTTCCAAACAAACACACACAAAGATGAACCAGAAGTGATTCAGCATTTGATGAAGGAGATTCTAGAGATGGAAAAGGCACTAGTTGTTCATCATGCAATGGATGATCTTAACTACCAGGAAGGAGTGGAGGATCAGTATTGGAATTTATTAGAAAATAAAAAATTGCATAGAGACAATGATTATCCTAGTTTCCCAACAGTTGTCGAGTGGGATGGACTACCTAAGTTTCTACCACAGACGTTGGACATAGGAGTCCCATATTGTTGTAGAAATCAAGCAAGTGGTCTTATTGATGATAGCGATAAAATACGAGAAATGTGTGTCAACTGGGGCCTAGATTACGATGCCCTCGGTACGAAAGGGTGCGTCCAAGATGTTGACAAAGAAGATAAAGGCGGTGACAATGAAATAGTGCCAAACAGTGACGATAATGGCGAATGAAAATTGCTATTTATTTCTTGGGGTGTATGTTAAATTGTTAAATTGTTGTATTGAATCTTTAATGCTAAATATCAATTAGATTTAACTCCATTGGAAACATAATTTTATTTCATAAATTTTGCAATCTGAACATTTACAAACATTCAGTACAATAAAAATACTGCAAAAAACACTATGTTTATCCTTGATAATGGGACACATTGGATAAACTGCCACCTGGAGCTGAATTACCACCGCTTCCCAAACCAGCTGAAGGACATTTACGATGGTCGTGTCCTGTTTGGGAACATATGCCACATTTACGCATAAACAGTATCACCAATATCCATTTGGTTCTGTATCCGCGTTCTTTTTTGCATTTGCCGTTGACGCACATAATCCTTGTTACACACCATTTTAAATGGTTCTGGTGGCCAATAATGCTCAGCACACACTGGCGGCAACTGCCCACTATAGGTGTTTAAGTATGCAGCAATACTATATTCTTTATCAACGTACCTCGTTGCTGCGAAACCTGTATGTTGAAAGCACTTCATGGCATGTGAGCATGGCAAGTGATAGATTGACCATTTTTCACATGAGCATAATCTTCTGGCTTCATTAACGGTGTGTGTATTATTCCCGCGATTGTGATGCAGACCAGTGCGAACTTCAACAATATTTCGCTAGCTGCAATACTGCAAAAATGAATGCCACTGTGCTCGCTTCCTATATTTCTCAAATCGTTTCATTGGTTGTGGCATAAATTCAACACCTTTTTCCATCAATGACGATGCACCTCTAGATCTTTCAACAAACCTCTCCGCCATCTGCTTGAATGACATCCGCACCATGGCAGTGACATGCAATCCACGTGCAGACTTCAATAACCCGTTGAAAGACTCTGACACATTTGTAGTCATAATTCCCATCTTCTACCACCATCCTTATGCAAATTCAACTTGTCAAGCTCATGGCGCATCAACCAACGATAGGCTTCTGGGTCTTCCTGCCTAATCAATTCCATTCGCCTCCTGAATTTACACTCTTGGTGATCTATTGCAGCCATCCATATTAAATTATGTAAGTCCTTATTCGGATAAACCCTCTGGAAGTTGGCCTTCAAGTGCCAAACACAGTAACGGTGGTAGGCATACGGTTCCTGCCATGCACGCAAATTCTGTATAGAACTTAAAATACCGACATGCCGATCAGATATTAGATAAATACGTGAACGTTGTTTGACAACGTGCTCCTTCAAGTGGTTCAAAAACAATGTCCATGTCTCTTGGCTTTCATTGGCACAAAATAGCAAATGCTAGGGTAAATATACTTCAGCATCTACTGCAACGGCGATCAACAACTTAATATCATACTTTCCATAGACATGAGTGTCGTCTATAGATATTACCGGACGACAATGCACAAAACCATCAATGGCTGGTTTAAATACCCAGAACACATATCTGAATATGTATTCTGGTATTCCTGGACTCCGCTCAAGCTTCCATTCAACAAAAGTCTTGAGATTAAAGTGTTGCAATGCAACCATGTACCTGGGTAGAGTGGCAAAGGACTTATCCCAGTTACCATAAACAATTTCAAACGCACGT